ATCAAAAGTCCATCAATTTCCTCCAAGGCTGCCATTATAGATGAACAAGTTTCCTCTTTCCACAGAATGCTGACACTGCCACACAGAATTAAAGAGGGGGGAAATTCACATCCAGTAAATGTGGCAGCTCCTTATTTTTTCCAGATGTGTCGATGTTATTCTCCAGGACTGTAAATCCCCAGTGGAAATGGAGTTACTCGAAATTTCAAATGGAGAGTTATATTTGGACGTCTCCATTTCCATAAAGGGATGATCTAAGTTGAGATCAGATGCACCAATGTTCTTGGTGTTGGCATTTGGATATCTACTTCCAAAGCCAAAGGTGGAACACTTTTCCCTGTACCTGGAAGGTACACAAACTCAGTCTCTCCTTACTTTGAATTAAATACTCTAGCTAAGTCTCTGATTAAATATATTTTAGATATGTGTTAGGCATGATGGATTGTCACTCAACATTCACTCCTATCTTGGTGTACTGAATGTTCTCATCACCAACCTAACTGATATGAGAAGGTAGGTGTTCCTTTACTTCTGAGGCTAGAAGCTTACAAACCACATTTCCCAGAGTCCCTTGCAGCTAGGGTTCTGGGCACAGCTTAGGTTCTGCAAGGGAGATGAGCTGGATGAGAAGGAAGGTGAAAGGTATCTAAGGAAGATGTTTGCTAGCTTGTTTTTGTTGTTGATAGCAACGTCCAGTCACTAGCTTCCTGGGGTGGAGAGGCAGTTTGCAGCAGCTTCTCTGATCACTGGAACACAGCCCAGACAGTGTGTTCTTAATGTTAGCAGCTTTGCTGGTGGCTCTGATTCCCAGCCTCCGGACTATGGCAATGACCGTAGCAACCCTGGCGGTCAGACCAGCTGTGCTGCCTGGGATTCAGCCCTCAAGGCTCAGGCTAGATCCTATCCTCTCCTTTAAGTTGAAGCTTTCCCTTGTAACCTTCTTCTGAGCACCTAATTCTCATATTAAACCCCTTTCTGCTTAAAGTAGCTAGGGTAGTTTCTGTTATCTGAAACCTAACAGATACCAGAAAGAAAAGGGAGAGATGAGACCATTCAGTACACCAAGTGGCAGGTGATACCTCGGAAGGACCACGGGAAGGGAAATGTTGTACCTCTCTCACATACACAGCTACACATTTAAGAACAAGAAGAAGGTTGCAAGTCGTACCTCCAGGACTACCTAAATCAGGGCCAACAACCCTTTAGGGTCTGGAGTTGAGGCCAGGGCATAATGACAAAGGCTGAGAAATAACCAAAGCCCAGCCTAGTCTCATAGGAGACCCTTAGAGAGAGAAGAAGGGAAGAGAGAAGGGAACAGGGAAAAACAAAGAGAATAAAAGAGAATAAAACCATGAATACAGGTGAAAAGGACCATACATCACATCCCTCAGGAGACACTGAACAAGCCATCCGCCAAGGGTAACCCTCCTTCCTGCTGCTAATCTGCAGTCTGTACCACAGCTTCACAGAACTGGGCTCAAGGGTTCTCAAATAAAGAATCGGGAAGCCTTTCCACATGGGAAACATTATAAAAAATGAAACAGTCCCTACAGCTCCTTAATAGACACATAGATTCAAACCGGGGAGAGAGAGAGAGAAAAAAAGAGAGAGATGGATTGACAGATGATAGATACATGACAGATTTGCATGTGTGTGTATGATAGCTGGAAATATACATAATATGTAGTTTAAACAAAAATTTGTTAGAATTAAGACAGGAAATTAATTCAAGTGGTTTTACAATTGGACAAATAACAATACAAAGAGCTGACACACTAGTCAATCATAGTAAATATTGGTTTAGTTCCTGATCAACTACAAAAAAAGTTGTAAATAACCTTTTCACAATTCGATAGACTTGTCTGAAAAAAAGCCTAAGATAAGATGTTTACACAAAACAGTTAAGAATTCTACTGAGGCTAACATCCTTACATAAAAGAAAGAAAAAATGTGTCTTACAGCCCAGGCCTATTGCTCATTCACGCAGCACTGCCTCCTCCTTCAAAGACACCTGTTCTCTCCATCGTCCTTCCTGCAAAACACACACACACACACACACACACACACACACACACACAGACTTGTGCACTGAGTCTCTGCAGGTGCTGTTCCTCTTCCTTAAACGCTCTTCCTTCATATCCCTTCCTTAAGCGAGCATCCCTGACCGACCTCCCTCCACAGATAAAATTTGCCATTTCTGTCCTTGATACTTGTCCGTCATAGCACATAGCATAGGTGTTATTTATAGGTTTACCTATTTATTACCAGCAGACATGCATTCTGCGAGAACAGGAGTGGGGTCTGTTTTTCTTGCTATTAACAGTAACTCCAGGGCTTAGCGTTGTGCCTTTGGTGCCTTGGGAATGTCAAACTTTTCAAAAGCTGAATGAATGTTATTGCTGCCTCATCCCCATAGTCCGAATACCCCAATTCTAAATCGTGGCAGATGTTCTCTACCTTTGCTAACTGTCCATGAGAAAACCAGGAATTATCATCATTTTATGAGGCCCCTACTTCCAAAGGCATTAACAGAAACTATTAATAGTTAAGTAAATGTTTAAAATCCATTTTGGAATTTCAATTGGTCATCACCTCTGTCTCCCTACTATCTCGTCATTATCTCCAATAACAACCACGTGTGACTTCTTTAACCCAGGTAAGCAAAGACCTGTCTAGGATGGAGGAGATGCAAGTCCAACAGTGTGCCCCTCTAGCTCCCAAAGGACACTGCTTGTATAGTGCACTCATGCTATATGCTATAGGAGTGTACTAAGTGTCCAAGGTTGGGGGAACTACCCATCGACCCAAATATTCAGTTCTGAGTGCAATCAGGCAGCAACCCCTCTGCAGCCCCCCGGAGATGATCTTAAGTAGACAGTAGACAGATCTTAAGTATTTCTACTTCTTGTTATAAACCCCTGTTTATGGCTGCTCAGAAAGTGCCAATAGTTTACGCAGCATTTTACACCAATTATCCCATTTGCTCCCCACAACCACCGAGAGGAATATCGTTAGCCCCATTTCACAGATGGCAAATGGCTCAGAGGTGGGCTTCACTCTAGGTGATCTAGTTCCAACTATGGAAATTCCTCCCTTGAATGGTTAGACATTTTTCCGGATGAGAAGTAAGTACCCAAAGTGAATGATGTTAACTCCTTTTGAAGACTTCTTAGCTAGGGGCTCTATGCAATGTACTCTCTTATTCCATCAAGAGAAGAGAATCACAAGAGCTGAAGGACATTTAACTGGCCATTTAGCATCATTATCCAGTCTGTCCTTAAATAAATCCTCAGTTATCTTAATACTTTCATGCCATTCTTTTCAGAATACTTCCTAATTTACCTATGAGTGAAAACATAAGATCGCACAGACAAGTGCTGACAGCCTAATATCAACAATACATTATACCAGCGGCTAAACTGCAATAAGAGCTTTCACTTAATCCCTATTTAAAAATATAAATCAGAACAGTGACACGCAGAAAACACAAGGAGTTCATTGCATTTTTCTGTCAACATTCTGAGTCTGCGTATTGCCAAGCATGTCTGGCCCCTGCCTTCTTCAATGCGATGATAGAACCTTCTTCATAACATGTTTCAAATGTTGAAGGCTAGTTCTTTAAAGGAGCATATAAATTCATTACAAGTGAAATGCAGTTAAGCATTCACATATCCACCTATCAGAAATACTGTAATATCTGGTTTATACCTCTTCTTTAAAGCCTTCTTAATCCCAAGTAAGATTTGGCTTTAACAGATACACATAAACGGAGATTTAAGATTCATGGGGAATAATAAATCTCCCACTGACCTTCCAATTTAAGGCAGCATTAACTATGCAGACAAAGCATTTTCAATTCCACATCCCTCTGGTAAGTAAAATGTTATTAAAACCTTTGAACTACCTTGGAGCTTTAGCCATATTAACAGAGGCACACAAAAGGACAAATTTCCAGAGAACATCGTTACAGTAATTGAATCTTTCTAGAAATAGAATTTCTTTTGAATTAAGAAAAGAGTCTACGGAGAGTTCCCTTTTGAAATCTGACCAAACGCATTAATAATTCTTTGGAGCAGTTTCTTTAGTGACAAGGTACTTTCCAACTTGTCAAGCTCTGCTTTAAATAAGTGTTGGGTAATCAACGGCTATCAGAGAGGGGATTTTCATTCTTCTCAGAGATGCTGCCCTGGGAGCAACTCTAAGGCATCACTGACCAGTACTGGAGAGTTCTTTACACTGCATCCTAGATTCAGGCATCAAGGGCAGGAAAACCTACAAGTCTCCCTCTCCTAAGCTTCAAAAGAAATTAACCATTCATTAGCCAGAAACCCAAAGGTTTCGATCTCCGTTTGAGTCACATGTACAATAGTACTTTTGGCTGCTGAAACAATAGGTTAAATGCCAATGGTTACCTGTAGTATTGCCAATAATTTGAATCTCAAAACGATATACATAGATATTCTAGCTCTTTATGCGCACGAAATTTTCAACGTACATTTAAATTCGTGCATACCAACTAACATAGATGTTTACAGCCTTACCCTCTTTCTACATAAAGCATTGCATGCTCATATCTATTTATCAAAAAGAACCCAGGTACCATAAAAAGATATACACACAGCAAGTGATATTATATAAATCCCACCTTCCTATTTCGGCATTCCTTCTTAAATTGTATTTTCACCATTAGTCTTTGAAAACTTTCTGGCTTCACATTATCAGTTCGCCAGCTCCTACTAGTTAAAAATCAATTCTCAAGCCATCGCTTCTAACGGGCAAGATACACGTGCGCTCCATGAAATACAAATGCATTTTCACCTTTAAAACCCTAATCATGTCCCCTTCAGCTTTGAGTTCTGATTTATCTGGTTTCACATCTGAAGCACATCCCGAAGTCCCTCACTGCAGGGCGGGCTCGCCTGTTTTGATCGTGTTTAAGTTTGCAAGGTAAACAGGTCACCCTCGGCCACCGGGATGGCAGAGGACGAGCAGGAACTCACCCAGGCGGTCGGACCCCGGGCGCGGGCGCCCCCGGCACGATCCAGGTGACCTGTCGCGCCCCGTCCTCCCTGCTGGAGCCTAGAGGCTGCAGATCTAGGGCGGAGAAGAGGCTTCTCGCCGCTCCCGTCGGCTGACCATTGTCAGCGCCCGGGTCGCCGGCGCTTTCTGCACGGTCTGGGGGCGGGAAACTCTACCGAGCCGAGTAGTTACGACGCTGTCCCGGAGCGGGGATTGGGGGAAAGCCGCCTTTGCATCAGAGCCGGGGCTGCAGCAGGTGTAACTTCCACCCCTTGACCTATTTTGGAGTGCGGATGAAAGGAAGAGGAAAAAATAGACGGAGGGCGCGCGCGGGGTGGCGGGGGCGCGCGCGGCCGTGGGGAGCGCGCACCCGGGCGCGCGTCTGGGCTTCCGAAGAGAAGTTGGAGCGCGGCCCCCGCGGTCACCCGCGCCCAGCTCGCCCGCGGTCCTTCCGCAAGCCCCTCCTCCCCCGCCGCCGGAGTCCAGGCTCCGCCAGCCCGTGTCCGGGCGCGCCCTGCCCAGGAAGCGCCGCTCCCGGAGCTCCGGGGCTCCGGGCTGCTCCAGCGGCAGCAGCTGGGCGACTGCCCCTGGCCCCCGTCGCCATCCCCGCCTCCCCCGCCAGCGCTCACCTTGCAGGAGGCGGCGCTCCGGCTCCCGCTCTCCGGGATCCCAGGCCCGCGGCGCCTGCGGGCAGGGAGGGCGGGCACACTCGGAGGGGCGGCGGGCGCCGAGCGGGGCCCGGGGAGCGTCCCCTCCCTGCCCTGGCCCCCTCGAACGCCCCGCCCGAGCGCGCCGGGGAAGGGAGGCTCTGCCGCGCCCGCCCGGCCTGGGGCTGCGGTGACCTTCCTGTCGCCTCACTCTTCTCGCCTGTCTCTCCCGGCGTGGCCGATCCTACGTAGGGGAGGACGCCGAGGCGGGCACACCTGGTCGGCCCGAAGCGCGGCAACGCGGTACCTGGGGTGACAACACCACCACCAACGTGACGCTTTAGCGCGTCTTATCTCTTTTGATCCTTGCAACCACCCGCTTCAACGGAAATGTCCCCGTTGGGTATATGGGATACCTGGGACAACTGAAGATGGGGCGGGGTGGGGGGGTTGAGACCAGGGTGCCACTGCTTAGACGCTCCAAATCTTTCCACCAAAACAGCACGCTTAATCTGTTGTGTTTTGCAAAACTAGCTCCATCACAGTAGCACCTGTCAGAAGGTGGGGTGGAACTTAGAAGTTTTTGCTAAAATTGGACGCAAACCTCCCCTCCCCCCATTGCTTCTGTGACAATGTGCCAATAGCGTTAACTACTTTTTACTCTTTTTTTTTTTTGTATTTTAGAGACAGAGTCTCACTCTGTCTCCCGAGTAGGTGGGACTACAGGCGTGCGCCACCATGCCCAGCTAATTTCGTATTTTTTATTTTTTGTAGAGCTGGGGTCTCACTATGTTGCCCAGGCTGGTCTCCAACTCCTGGCCTCAAGCCATCCTCCCACCTAGGCCTCCCTAAGTGCTGGGATTATAGGAGTGAGCCACCCCACCCCTCCGCATTAACTACTTTCTGACAGATCCTTAGAGTAATAATCTTCAGCCCCTATTATTAAACAACTCAGTAATCATCAAGGACCTACGTACTTTGACAAATGCACTTTTCCAGTATCGAAAACGTAGCATGTTTAGTAACCGCTCTGCTGCCCTTTGTGAATGAAGCTGATGCTCCCGATCCCATGGGGGTGGGGGATGGGGGGACTTCATGCTGAGTTGTTTTTGCAGTCATAGTTATTTATGGGGACCCAACTATATGTCTCACGAAGACACTGGTATATTTAAGGTGCTACTAAGAGAGTAGATGGAGATCAGCATATAGCTTCTGATTTCCAAATGGTTTTCTAATGCCACGGTGTATTGGGGTGGGGCTGGGGGAACCGCTGCTTGGGCCTCTTTCTCCTCATGCCCAGGATAATCAAATTGGCTTCTCCTTTTTCTGTGACGGGCTCCTTTTCCCATTTAAAAGGCAAAAAATCACAAGCCTGGTTTTACATATTCTTGAGCTGACTGCCAGCCCACAGAAATGCCCTGCTCATTCCTGTTTCCGTTCAGTGGAGCAACAGCTACAGTATGTCCCTGGACACAGGATGCGTGTTAGATACTGTGATGTTCCTTGCCCTCTTCTAACAGGGCAATAGGAGGCAAAGTAGGTAAATAAGTAGAGGATAGTGCCTGGCATGAAGTAGGTACCTAATAAACGCTTGTCCTGTCAATGAGATCTAAACAGAATGTGACAAAAAGGAAGGTGGTCTGGTTTAAATTTTGCAGAAAAACATGAGGTAAATCAGCTATAGGTGAGGTGGGTAGGGAAGGCATCCTGTAGGTGGTGACAGGTACAGGATTTTGATATAAACAATTTTCACCCTAAGGGTTGAAAATGAGAAAGTATGTTCGATATGCTTTCAAGATATGGTAGAAGCAGAGATTCTTAATTTTTTGTAGTTAATGGGCCCCTATGAGATTGTGATAGAAGCTTTGGAAACCCCCCCCCCCGTATAATAAATGTAAAAATATTTGCATATGTTTTTTGAGAGTTCACACTCTGACTGAGGCGTATCTGTGGAATCCCTAGAGATCTGTGGCTTGAGATCCCAATTCCTTGTTTGAAGGCAGGGAGAAAGATAAAGAGATTATTCTAGCCCAGGCCATCATAAGATATATTTCCATGGTCACCAGGAAAAAATGGATAATGGCTGTGAAAATGGGAAGAAAAGTGTGTTGTAAAGAAAATTTGTACGCTAGAGAAACATAGCTGGATTTTTTAACAGTTTATGTTCTTTTTGTACATGAGAATTTCATTTTCATATCTCAGCCAAAAGGGACAGGGATAAATAAAATATGACTGTCGAAACATTGACAGTTGCTGGTGCTGGGTGGGCACATGGCGGGTTATTGCATTATTATCTCATTATTTGTGATGCTCGACATTTTCTACGAAAAAAATTCCAATGAATTTTTATTCTTGGTATTCATAACCATTTCTACGGCATTCCCTAACTTGGCTTGTTAGGACAGAGATTTTGTGAATAAAAAAAGAAAGAAAAGAAAAAGGAAATGGTAAAAAAAATGCCAGTGATGTCACACTTAAGATTGTTATTAATAAGTATAGTCTATATAGAAACAATAGGTTTTCTCTTAGAGTGAATTGTGAAGCATGCTGGCCATAGTCTCAACAGAAATTAGACCACTGTGGAACACTGAACATTCTCCTGTTTCTTTCTAAACTTACATTTCATTTCATATTTCTTGGTTAATTAAAGCCCTTTTTATTACATTACTATATATATTATGTTATATATAGTATATAATATAATGTTATATTTTGTATATTTATTTACATGCTTATATAGTATATAATATATTTTCATATTATATTTCTATATATTTATATATGATATGCATTTATTTATATCTAATATAAATAAAATTTACATATAATATAAATATATACTATAGAACATATTTGCATATAATGTATATTTATAATATATTACATATCGTGCATACAGATGGTCCCTGACTTAAAACCATTCAACTTACAATCTTTTGACTTTATAATGATGTGAAAGCAACGCACATTCAGAAGTCATGCTTCCAGTACCCCTACATCCATTCCTTTTTCACTTTCATATTACATGAGATAGTCAACACTTTATTATAAAGTAGGCTTTGTGTTAAATGATTTTGCCCAACTATAGGCTAACGTAAGTGTTCTGAGCATGTTTAAGGTAGGCTAGGCTAAGCTATGATGTTTGGTGGATGGGGTATATTAAATGCATATTGGACTTATGATATTTTCAGTTTATGATGAGTTTATCTGGACATAGCCCCATCAAAAGTCAAGGAGCACCTGTACTATCTGCTATTACTATTATTATATTGTTTAGTTAACTTAGGTCCTTTATTAGTTAATGCCCTGGGTCTGGCTCACAGCTCTTGAGGCAGCAGATGACAGGTCATGACTCTTTGAGTACCTGCCTTGCTCACTCGCCCCTGCTGAGAAAGGCAGCCACATGGGTTCCTTACTCATAGGCTGCATACTTTCCATCATGTGACTAACTCAATCAAGGATTGGTGCCCACCCAAAGGAGCTGCCTAGTTTGTCCTGTGGACTCAAGACAGTTGCCCAGAAAGTCATGAGATTTCCCCAGTGTATGCAGCCTTCTAAGCTCCACACCTCTAGTCTCTTAAAGTATGGCATTTACGTAAGGAATCCATTTAAGTTCTCCTAGAGCTTTTGACTGTTACCTTATTTGTTTTATCCTCATTGCCTAATCACAGTTCTCGGCAATTACTTAGAACCCAATGCATTTATTTGAATTAATGAATCTGTATATATTGCCATAAGTCTCAAAATGTGCTGATGCTTCTGTTACTATTTCATTCATTTCAACTTTGACCATCACTACATTCAAGGCCCTGGTCTAAGTACTGGCCATTAGCCATTTTGGGTGCTTACCTGTTATTAGTATAATGAAGAGTTAGCAAATAATTGCTGTAGTTTTACCCACATTTCTCCACCTTTCAAAGTTATCCCATATTTTTTGAATGGTTTTAATTAGTTTAGCATAATATCCTGTTGCATAAGGAAAGGGAACCTCTCACCAGTGGAATGGTAGACTGCGCTGAGGTTAGCTTCAAATTACAGAAAGAAGTTACAAAGTGCTCCAGTCTCCCCAGGGTGATCTGTAGGAGATTGGAGACAAAACATTCTAACAACAGGGATAGACAAAGCTCAGGATTTATGACCTCATTGGTTTTAAAGAATTCCCCACAACAAACCAGTCAGACTAGTCTGGGGATCAAAGAGCTCACGGCTGTTTATAATATGTCAGCACAGTTTAGAGATAGGGGTGCTACCCAAGAGCTGTCCTTGGCATTTTTGGATGTGCATGGGCTGTTGTCACAGTAGCCATCGCCCTAAGTCCTAAACACTTTATTTCTCCAGCCATTTTGGTGCCAGAGAGTCTGGAGCTGCTGCCTTTGTCCAAGGAACTGATATTCTCCAGATCTGTGAAACCCAGCGGCCTCCTTGGAGTAAACAGTGAATTTCCCAGCATTGGGATAGGATGGTTTTTTATCTGATAGGATTTTGTGGGCCAAGAAGAGAAACAGCCTGCTTTTTCCCTGTCTTCCTGAACCATGTAAAAAA